AGAAAAACTAAAGGAGTTCATGACCACTAAACCATCCCTACAGGAAATTTAAAAGGGACTCTTTGAGTAGAGAAAATATGAAAAAAAAAAAAAAGACCAAAAGCAACAAAGACTAAAAGGACCAGAGATCAACACCAGCTCTACAGGCAACAAAGTAACTAAAATTCATATCTTTCAGTACTCACTCTAAATGTAAATGGAATAAATGCTCCAATCAAAAGTCATAGGGTAGCAGAATAGATAAGAAAACAAGATCCATCTATATGCTCCTTATAAGAGACCCATTTTATACCTAAAGACACCTAAAGATTGAAAGCAAGGGGATGTAGAACCATCTATCATGGTAAAGGTCATCAAAAGAAAGCCAGAGTAGCCATACTGATATCAGGAAAACGAAATTTTAAAATAAAAACAAACAGGAGATGAAGAAGAGCACTATATCTTAATTAAGGGGTCTATACACCAAAGAGATTTAACAATTATAAATATTTGTGCCCCCAACATGAACCCACAAATATATAAATCAATCACAATAATAAAGAAACTCACTGAGTATAATACCATAATATAGGGTAATTCTACCAATCATTTGAAAAAGAGTTAACACCTATTCTTTCAAAGCTGTTGCAAAAATATTGAAATGAAGGAAAACTTCCAAACTCATTCTACTTCTACAAGTTCAGCATTACCTGGATTCCAAAACCAGACAAACATCCCAGTAAAAAGAACTAAAGACCAATTTCCCTGATGAACATGAACGCAAAAATTCTTAACAAGATACTAGCAAAACACATCCATCAACACATTAAAAGAATTATTCACCACGATCAAGTGGGATTGATCCCTGAGATGCTAAGCTGGTTCAATATCCACAAATCAATGAATGTGATACATCACATTAATAAAGAAAGGATAAGAACCACATGATTCTCTCAGTAGATGCAGAGAAAGCATGTGACAGAATACAACATCCTTTCTTAATAAAAGCCCTCAAGAAAGTAGAGATATATGGGTCATACCTCAAGAACATAAAAGCCACATATAAAAGACCTGACACCAATATCATCTTCAACAGGAAAAAATGGAGAGCTTTCCCTCTAAAGTCAGGAATGCAAAAAGGATGTCCATTTTCACCACTGTTATCCAACACAGTGTTGGAAGTCTTGGCCTCAGTAATCAGACAACACAAAGAAATAAATGGCATACAAATCAGCAAGAAGGAAGTCAAACTTTCACTCTTCGCAGATGACATGATACTCTATGTGGAAAACTCAAAGACCTCTACAAAAAAAAAAAAAAAAAAACCTGCTAGAACTGATCTATGAATTCAGCAAAGTCACAAGATATAAAATCAATGTACATAAATCGGTTGCATTTCTATACACCAATAATGAAGCAGCAGAAAAAGAAATCAAGGAATTGATACCATTTATAATTGCACCAAAAGTCATAAAATACCTTGGAATAAACATAACGAAAGAGTGAAAAATATACACTGAAAACTATAGAAAGCTTATGAAAGAAATTGAAGAAGACACAAAGAAATGGAAAAATATTCCATGCTCATGTATAGGAAATATAAATATTGTCAAGATGTCGATACTATCCAAAGAATTCTATATATTCAATACAATACCTATCAAAATAACACCAGCATTCTTCACAGAGCTAGAACAAATAATCCTAAAATTTGTATGGAACTAGGAAAGACCGCAAATAGCCAAAGCAATCCTGATAAAGAATACCAAAGCTGGAGGCATCACAATTTCAAACTTCAAGCTGTATTACAAAGCTGTAATCAACAAGACAGTATGGTACTGGCACAATAACAGACACTTAGACCAATGGAACAGAATAGAGAACCAAGAAATTGACCCACAAACGTATGGCAGACTCATCTTTGACAAACCGGGTAAGAATATCCAATGCAAAAAAAGTCAATCTCTTCAGCAAATGGTGTTGGGAAAACTGGAAAGCCACATGCAGAGAACCTGGACCACTTTCTTATACCATACACAAAAGTAAACTCAAAATAGATAAAAAACCTAGAGGTAAGACTTGAAGCCATCAAAATCCTTAAGGAAAAAATAGGCAAGAAACTTTTGACCTAGGCTTCAGCAACTTCTTACTTGACATGTCTCCTGAGGCAAGGGAAACAAAAGCAAAAATGAACTATTGATACCTTGTCAAGATAAAACCTTCTGCACAATGAAGGAAACAATGAGCAAAACTAAAAGGCTTATGGAATGGGAGAAGATATTTGCAAATGGCATATCTGATAAAGGGTTAGTATCCAAAATATATAAAGAACTTATCAAACTCAACACCCAAAAACAAATAATCCAGTGAAGAAATGGGAAAGGCATGAATAGATACTTACCAAAGAAAACATCCAGATGGCTATCAGACACATGAAAAATGCTCAACATCACTCATCATCAGGGAAATATAAATCAAAACCATAAGGAGATATGACCTCACACCTGTCAGAATGGCTAAAATTAACAACTCAGGCTGCAACATATGTTGGTGAGGATGCAGAGAAAGAGGAACCCTTTTGCATTGCTGGTGGGAATGAAAACTGGTGCAGCCACTCAGGAAAACAGTATGGAGGTTCCTCAAAAAATTAAAATACAACTACCCTATAACTCAGCAATTGCACTACTAGTTATTTATCTAAATGATACAGGAGTGCTGTTTCAAAGGGTCATATGCATCACAATGTTTATAGCAGCAATATTGACAATAGCCAGACTATGGAAAGAGCCCTTGTCCATTGACTGTTGAATGGATAAAGAAGATGTGAAATATATATACAATGGAATATGACTCTGTGATCAAAAAGAATGAAATCTTGTCATTTGCAACAACGTCAATGGAACTAGAGTGTATTATGCCAAGCGAAATACGTCAGTCAGAGAAAGACAAATATCATATGAATTCACTCATATGTGGAATTTAAGATACAAAACATATGAACATAAGGGAAGGGGAGCAAAAATGACATAAAAACAGAAAGGGAGACAAACCATAAGGGACTTAAATACTGAGAATAAACAGGGTTCTGGAGGGATGTTGGGTGAGTGGATGAGCTAAATGGACAAGGCGCGTTAAGGAGGACACTTTTTGGGATGAGCACTGCATTTTATAAGTGAGTGATAAATCACTAAATTTTTGTTCCTGAAGTCATTATTACACCATAGGTTAACTAACTTGGATTTAATTTAAAAAAATAAAATAATTATTGAGACATATGTATTTATTGGCATTTTGTTAATTATTTTTTGGTTGTTTTTGTAATTCATTTTTTTCTTCTTCTTTGGATCTCTGCATTTTAAGTTTTGATTATTTTATTTGGTGTTACGATTGGGTTCTTTTTTTCTTTTTTTTCCTTTTACTTTTTGTATCTGTTGTAGGGTTTTGGTCATGACTATCATAAGGTTTGTATATATCATCCTCTGTATATTGCAATCTCTTTTATGTTGATAGTTACTTAAGTTCAAACACATTCTAAAAACACTACATTTCTTCTCTCTTCTTCCACATTTTTTGATCTCATATTTTACATCTCTTTATTTAGTGTATTCCTTAACTACTTATTGATTATAATTGACATTACTATTTTTTTCACCTTTTTAAGTGGGTGATCCTTTGCTTTTACTATTTATTTGTATTTATCAGTGATATTTTTTCTTTCACATATTTTATTTCAAATTGTGGCCTTTTCTTTTATGCTTAAAGAAGACTCTTTATCATTCTTTTATGGCCAGTTTAGTGGTGATGAACTCCTTTAGTTTGTGTTTGTCTGGGAAACTCTCATTCATTCTGACTGATATTTCTGAGTAAATTGTTCTTGGTTTTATGTTTTTTTTTTTTTTTTTTTTATCATTCAGCAATTTAAATATATCCTCCCACTCTCATCTGGCCTTCACAGTTTCTGCTGAAAACTCAGCTCATAGTGTTATGGGGTTTAACTTGTATATGTCTATTTTTTTTTTCTTTTTCTATCATCAGGATTCTCTCTTTATCTTTAACTTTTGCTATTTTAAATATAATATGTCTTGGGATAGACATCTTTGGGTTCATCTTGTTTGGGACTCTCTGCTTCCTGGACCTGGATGCCTATTTTCTTCCCCAGGTTAGGAAGTTTTCAGCCATGTTTTTGTTTTTTTTTGTTTTTTTTTTTTTAATTTTTTTTTCAACATTTA